CCCTAGCCCCTCTGCAGCCAATACGCGCTACCCGAAGCCCGTGCGCAGGGCCTGCCCAGGGCCCCTCTATGTCTCTACATGCGTTCCCCACCCCTAGTCCAGCCTGAATTCGCATCCTCACCCTCAGGCCCCCAACCCTGTCGGGTCTCGGCTTCAAGCGCGGCCAGAAGGCAGCAGTGGCGTCCAGGCAGGTGCGGCGTGTGTGTGCGGAGGAGTCTAGGGCCAGCGGCCTGCGGTGAGAGTCTCTGATGGCATGTTTAGGGCAATTCTAAGGGCGTTCTGGTCATTCAGCAGCATGGTTGTGGGTGGGGAAACTGTGGATGAAGCTGGAAACCAAGTTCTCACCCTGGCCTAGCGCCTAACTCCATTTCCCTCGAGATTTGAGCAGCCCTGCCTCCTCTCTGGTCCTCAGTTTCCTTATCTGTGAAGTGGGGTTGGCGACTGTAATTTTGTAAGGGTAGTTGTGGGGATGAAGTCAAGTGGTATTGGTGAAGGGCATTCCAGATTTTAAGAGAAAGGCCCAACAAACTGGGAGCCTTGGGGCAAACTCTTTATCCTCCACAATCCTCAGTTTAAGAAAACAGGCAGGGGTGCGTTCACTCTGAATCTCTGAGTCTGTCCAAGAGTGGAAGTCGTCTGGGAGAGGTGGGTGAGATCAGGGTGAGAACAGAGACCCCACCTCAGCTGGCGGGGGGGGGGGGGGGGGGGCGGTGTTAGGAGAAGGGAGTGTCCTGCAGTTTCTGAGACAAAGGGGTTTCTGGGCCAGCCCAGCCACACAGTTGCTCAGGGCTAGGGAAGAACCCTGGGTCTGAGATGAAAAAATTGTGATGCTAAAGAGGAAGGAGTCTGCTAATATCCTACTACTAACTCCCTACATGCTGGGGGCTGTGAGGCCAAGAAGCTACTTGCTTTATGCTGAGAAATAGTGCCATTAATTCCTGCAGTGATTAAGCCAACCTAAAGGCACAGGACAGCAGACTTGGATCCTGGCTGAGGCCTGTCCTGCCTGGGACTTCAGATAGAGCAGAACCTTGGTTCTGGGAACTAAGGTCCAATGAACCTGTGAGGATAACCCCGTGATGGATCAGCTGCAGACCTGCTGTGCAAACTTGAGTAGGTCATTTCACTTCTCTGAGCAGCATTTCTCTGTCTAGAAAATGGCAAAGATGGGCCCTAAGGAGGAAGTTGAGAGTTCACACGCATAAGTCTTGGTGAAGAGGGGGAGTTAATCATAGGCCCCCACCTACAACCAGCAGCTCAAGAAACAAAATCATGTACTAGAGGGAGAAAATGGACTACTTTTGCTTCTGAATAGAATCCCACGAGGACAAGGGCTTTCAGAAGGTGGACAGCCTGAGAGGTACTACTTGGGGCTGGGCAGACTTCCTTAGGGTAATGTCCACCTGAGCTTTCTTATACTCAGAAGGAGGACCCAGGCACTGTGAGCTCAAGTCTGAGGTTGGGGTCAGCTTTAGTTGGGGACTAGCTCAGAGCCAGTTCTTCCCTATTCTCTACCTCAACCCCTTTTCATTCTGAGGTTCCCATCATAGGTTGGGGCCTTAAGGCTAATTTTCCAAGAATCCACTCAGACCCCCTAAGACCCCAGGTTTCAACTTCACATGTGGATGGCTACAGCCCTGAAGCCACGTAGCAAGGGATGGGGGCCCACTTATCTCCACATACACCTGGCCTAGCCACAGACAGGGGGGCTAACAGATGGCCACTGGTGACTAAGCCGCAGATTGACACAGAGATCAGAGATATCATGGATTCTCACAAACATGGAAGCAGGGAGCCTCAGAACCCCATGGCCACACTCACAAACTACCAGGCTGAGCCTGACACGTCCCTGTGACGCTTGGCCACTGATAGACTCACCGTGGAACACCCGCAGACCCTAGTAAGGCCTGTTCCCACAGGCCTAGCTCCTCCCATCAGTTACTAAGAGAAGAAGAGGGGTAGCATGGCGGGAGGGCAAGTCTAAGGAGACCCATGGTCTCTTCCTTGCGCTGGGCAGCAGCCACCAGGCACTCAGCAGAGCAGGCAATGGCCAGTCCAGGCCACAGGGAGGCACTGAGGAGAGAGGCTGGCCATTAGAGGCCTGGGCCCAGGCCCTCACTTACGGAGCGGAAGGCAAGCTCTCACGCCAGATGAGGGTGGACAGTGGGCACCAGGAGTCCGGAAGGCGGCTCCGGTGGCCCAGGTGGAGCAGTGGCAATCGTGGGCACGCAGGAACTTCTTGCCACGGCAGGCGGCAGGCGGACAGAAGGCTGGCCCTGTCCGTTCGTCCTCCTCCTCCCCGCCCTGAGGGGGGGCACCGGAGGCCCAATTGGTCTCTGCCCCCACGTGACTCTGCAGGCCTGTCTCCTTCTTTGTTGGTGTTTCTCTTCATTTATTTATTTTTTTTTCTTCTCCCAAAAGGAAAAAAAAAACCCCACACCACCCAACTACCCCTATCAATCTGGGGGCGGCGGGTAGGGGTGGAGGCCAAGGTACTCTGGAGGCCTTGGTCGGTTGGCTATTACAGACCAATGTGGGAGCCCAGAGGCAGGGACCCCCCGGAGGCGGGTGGGCAGTCTGCTTGTTAGTGACTGGGTGGGAGTGGGGCTTGATTTATGGGCTGCTCCCCTAACTGGCCTGCAGGCTGGCCGCTCCCCCCTTGAATGACTACCTCCCCGGGGCCTGGCCCAGCGTGGTCTGGCCTGGCCCGGACACGGGAGTGGAGGCAGGCCAGACTGGCATGGAGACAAGGGCATGGACGACTTGACCAGGGGACTTTGTTACTTTGGCTTGGTCCTTTCACTCTTCCAAAATGTGTGAAGAAAGAGGGGAACCGAAGGCAAGCAGGTGAGCTGACTGAGCACCTCCTGTGCATTGTGTTGGTGTCTCTGAATATTTCCACCTACTCTGGGCTGATGCTCCCAGTTCATTGCTGGGAAAAGTGACATTGGAGGTCTGACTCCGGGGCCAGGTGATTGGCTACCAGGGCCCAAGATTGGCACAAGTGGGAAGTTAGGCTAAGCAAGAAGAGCAAAGGGAAGAGGGCTTTATTTAGAAGGCAAGCTCCTCGGCAGTGACCTGGGATCTTGAATGATCCTGGTCCCACAGGGCTCAAACTATGTTGCCTGTACCTCATCTGTGCATGGTATCCTCATCTAGGCGTCCCTTCACCCACTTGATACTTGTGGAGAGCACACCAAGTGCCCGGCACTGCTTCAGACTTGGGGCCTGGGGCAAAGAAAAGGCAAGAAGTCACTCTCTTCAGAGGACACCGCTCTATCCGTTAGGCTAGGGAATTAGAAGCATGGCCTATGGAGCAATCAGCATTGATTCTATCAAGGCTCTTTAATTTAAGGAAATGAGTGATTCACGAAGAACAGCTCACTTATCTAGCTTGCAGTGAGAAGTATCTTTTTTTCTTTTACTTTTTAAAAATAATTTTAATGAACATTTACAGAGATTTTGGATTTCCATTCATTCATTGCTGCACTTCTCTCCCCGCCCAGCCCTCCCCACGTGAAGTATCTTTTTAGACAACTAAAACCCAAACCAAACCCTACTGGGTTCTGAGGCTTTAAATCTTTACAGTACGAGACAGCCTCATCATTCTGCTAAAGGGCATCTGGTGGATTTAAACCATCAACCTTTCACATAATACACTGTGTAATCAGGACTCTTTTGATCACTAAGGCCAACTATATTAAAAACCTAACTTGGGGTTACTCATAGGAATGCACAGTTTGATGAGTGAAGGGAGGGGTGGGTAAAAAAATGGGAAAGATCTGGTGTGAAAAACAATGTGAGTGAACTTTGTAAGTAAACCAGTATAAAACTAAAATTTTACTTAGAGAAAAAAAGAGATAGGAGACTGAAATGATGTTGTTGTTATTGTTTTGACTCATAGCGACCCTATAAACAACAGATCTGAGCCTTGCCCTCTCCTGAACCATGTTTTGTTATATACGTATATATGTAAATTTGTATGCATGATTTGTTATAGACATATGTAAATTTTCACTCCAATAGAAGTTCTTGTTTTTAAAGTGAAAAACAAAACAACCTAATTTGTTCTTTTCTCATTGTGCCATTAAAAGAAATGACATTCTCTTGTGAACATGCATACAATGATTTTGCTGGCAGTAATAATAAAACTGATTCTCCTGATTAAATACACTGTAATTCTCTTTACAATAGGACTTACAATGTATGTGCCAACAAAGAAACCTTATAATTATTTTTTTCACATATAGAAATTCTTCCATTTTGATGTAATGATTTTTGGATTAATAGCATTCATCTTCTGCATTTTAAAAGAGAAAATACACTACACTATCAACTGGTCCCATATATGGAAACACCACTACTAAATCCTAATTCTTACACTTTTAATGAGAAGTTTCATAAAATGGTGTCCACTTTCTTTATCTTTTTACACAGGGTAAATAGGGTCTCTCAGCACCACAATTCCATGGATGGAACCAGGCTGGCCTGGTCACAGCTTCTTAGTGGGTTTTTGAGCCCTGAGAAGAATTGCTGAAAGACTAGTGGGTAGAGACTCTCAGGTAAATCTCAGTTCAGCCACTTTCTAACTGTGTGACCTTGGACAAGTAATTTTACCTCTCAGGGCCTCATGTTCTCTGAAGAATGAGGATGAAATGAGAAATACACATCATATATTCAGGGACTACCTAGCATATAGTGTGTGCTCAGTAAATGTTAGTACAAACAAGCAGAAGGACTGACAGGTTTTTCCTTACGGGTTGTTCTGTGTTGAGTCTGAGATTGCAACATTATCATAAATGTTGTTTGCCCTCTGTGCTGGAGTGACTCACTCCAACATGTGGAACCCTCAAGAGAAGTCTCGGACTGATTGGTCGCTGGCTACACAGCAGCTAGCACCGAGCAAGAGCCCGTGTTTGTTGAATGACTCTTTGCTGTGCACCGAAGGCTCCAGGTGCTGCCTGTGGGTGTAGAGGTCGGCCGCCTGCCCCTCCAGTCTATCCTCTTCTCTGTAGGCAGTCAGTTGTCACTTTCTACTGCCACTTGATCTGGGCATTTCTCACCTCTCACCCAAATTTCTAGTCAAATCTTTACTGAGCTTCCCTTTCCACTATGCTGCCTATCCCTTGCACTCACCCATACTGGGTGCTCCATGGGCCTCTGAGGAGCCAGGGGTTACAGAACATCCAGAAAGGCAAAGCCCCAACACTAAAGCACCTCTGGTATGCCTGGTTCCCACTCTGTGATCAGTCTAGAATGTTCTCCAAAATGCTGGTTGGTAGGAGGTATTTTGTTCCTCTTCCCCCATGAACAGCATTTGACAGATGAGACTTCTCAAGGTCCTAAAGCAAGGATGTAGTGAGGCCAGGGTTCAAGTCCAGACAGAGGGAGTTTGGAGCCTGGCTTGGAGGTTCAGTCTTCCTTATTGTTTCCCTGGGTGGCCTATTTGTTCCTCCTTCAAGCTCCAGCCCAGGTGGTCCTCGGCCATGAGACTCACTGGAGGAGAAGGGGCATAATCCTGACCTAGACCCCTGCCTCCTTCCCTCCCAGGCAAACAAAGCCCAGGGTCTCGTGCCTAAGTGGGGACTTTCCCAATGTGCCAGGCCTATTTCCTGGAACATGAAACAAACAAATCAGAAGCCCAGAAACTAGGAGGAGAGGAGAGGCAGAATCCCCAGCCAGGGTCAGGAGATGGTATAGAAAGGAGAGAGACAGCAGAAAAAGTAGCCATCAAAACTGAGGAAGAAAATGCAAGAAAAAAGGGAGACAAACTGACTGGCAGCAAAATAGACCCAATGGTCAGAATGGGCAAGAGAGAAAAGAGACACTGAGGCATAAAATGAAGCAAGAGAGGCAGGGACCCATAAGCCAGAGGCAGAGGGAGTATGTAGACCCTATGCAGTGTAGTGGAGGGGGTGGGCCTGCTGGCAGCAGCAGAGGCTGTTTCCGCTGCACCCCTTATCAGCCTGCTGCCAGATGTTCAGATCCGATGCCAATGTCAGAGAAGTCCATAGTGCTGGGTCAAGGCCGTGGCCGCGGGAGCCTCAGCTGCAGTGTGGGAAGGGGGGCCAGGAGTCTGCAACAGACCTGTTCACTCTTCCCCTCTGCTTCTTGGCTCTCAGGTTGGACCACCTGGTTGGGGTGGGGGGCACCAGGTGCCTCAGGGGGCCACTCCTCTAAACTAGGAACAGGGTCATGGGGAGTTCCTGGTAACATAAGGACACATAACATCTTTCCAAACCCCTGTATTTGAGGAAGCATATGTACACAGATGCAAAATCATGCACACAAGTGTGCAAAGCCACACAGGGACAGCATACAGTTCTATGCCTGGCTATTTCATCACAGCACTCCATCTGAGCCCACAGTCTGTTCTACTGAGCCAGGGCTGCAGCCAAAAGTAGAGAATCAACAGGGCCCTCCTGTTTCTCTATGAATGTTGCTGTTGTGTACCATTGAGTAGGAATTAACGCATAGCTAACTCTCCAACAGGTTTTCAGAGACAGTAAATTACGCTGGAGACTGCCTACCTTTTCCCCATGGGGCATCTAGTGGATTTAAAACCATTTACCTTTGCAATTTGGCAGCACAATTCCTTACTACTCAGCCATCAAAGGCAGCTGTGGTGACCTAGTGGCAAGAAGCTGTGCTTCAATCCCAAAGGTACAAGACCACAAGCTGCTCCATGGGAGAAGGGTGGGCAATTTCCTCATGTGCGATTGCTGCCTCTGAAAACCCTCTGGAGGGTCACATCCGACTTTATGGAACACGACAAGAAGCCACCAAAGCCTCTATGATGCTTTGTGGCTCTTAAGCATTTTTAAAATGCATGTCTCAAGATTCAGCGGATAGGTTGAGGAATCTGGGACTCCACGTGAGAAGCCACAGAGGCTGTGTGTCTGCAGGGCTGGCTGTAGCCTTGGGATTGGACCTCTCTACTATGCTCCTGGAGCGTGCGGCTGCAGCTGGAGCCCCTTTCCAGGGGTCGCTTATCTCCCAGTGCACACGCTTGGCCCTCAAGGGGTGACCCAGCCTTGGTCCCCACATTCTTCCTCAACCATGCAGCCGGCGGGTCTGTGCTTGGAGGGTGGGCAGGATTAACTGCTTGGAACGAACTCATGCCTCTATCACGATGAATCTACATCTGTCACTGTTTTTACCTCAGTTTTTCTCTTATTTCTGTTGGCTCTCTTCATTATACTTTCTTTGGAGTCCCTAAGTGGGATACCTCTGCTCTGCTTCTGATCCGTATCAGCTAGCCTCAGTGGGACTATGCAAGAAATCAGGAGCTAG